GCTGCGCCCACAAGAGCCTTCCCCTGCCCCGTCTCTGACCGCCCTCCACTGCCTCCCGTCGCCTGGAGCCGGGGGCTGGTGGGGAGCTGCGGGGGGCTCAGCCTGGCTGAGGCGGGCTCAGCCCCTCACAAACCCCAGGGCTGATTTCTGAGCCACGCGCCACAGGCACCCCTGCCAGCCTCGGGCGGCACCCCCGCCCCTGCCCCGGGAAAGCACAGGGCAGGGGGGCACAGCTCCCAGCATTGCTGCTATGAGACCCTCAATAGCCGTGGCCCAGCTACAGCGGAAGGCAACCGCCCAGTCTGGACCAGTCTGACCAGGGGGGAAATCCCTTCCTGACCCCACTGTGCACCGGAGCAGGGGGCAAGACGCTCCAGCTTTGGGCCCAGCAAGAGCACTGGCCCAGCCCAGGCACAGCCCCAGCCCCAGCCCCAGCCCCGGCCTGGGCTGCAGCCAGCGCTGGCCTCGGGAAGCCCCTCCAGCCCCTCCTCGTCCTTGCTGCCCCTCTCTGGCCCTGCTCTAGCTCTTCTCGCTCTCCAGAGCCGGGCCCAGGCTTCGAGGCGTGGCTGCACCGTGGATTTGTACCAGCTCCCTTTCCTTCACAAGTCCCATTTGTTTTTTGCCTTTCCGACAGCAGGCACCCCAGGCGCGGGACCTCCAGCCCCTTATTGCAGCCCCCCGTGCAGGTGTGTCCAGCTCCAGCCGGGGAGGAGTGAAGCCCCTGGGGTCCCTTCCTTGCAGCTCTTCTCAGCAGGTGACAAAGCCCAAGCAGCCGCCCATCTGTTAGAGCAGCCCCCAGGTGGCTCTCGGTGTCCAGGGTGCCAAGGAGGCGATGCCCCTTCTCCCCCCGGCCTCCGCGGAGAGCAGAGACTGGAGGATGGCAGGGGCAGCTGCAGGGCTCAGAGGAAGGGGAGCGCAGGGGGAACGCAGGAGCCGGTAGAAGGACAAGACAGAGAGAGCTGAGGACCCCCGTTTAGTTGCATGGCTACAAAATCCTTCTGCCACCTCCCCCAGCGTGGGCAGAGGGGCTGTGAGCCAGCGGTCTGTGCGGGGATGCCCGGTGCTCGGGCGGGGGCAGGGTCCTGGCACGGTGGCGGTACAGGGAGGCCAGACGGAGTCAAGGCGAGTGCTGGGCGGCTGCTTTCGGGCGCTCAGATTCATACCGCATGTCCGTGGCGACCAGCACGAACCCCTGCGGAGACAGAGCATGGGGGCACGTGGGTGGGAAGCCCCCAGGGCTGTATCGGGGCTGGGGGATGGCAGTGCCAGTGCTACCCACCTCGTGAATGCTGACGTGGGGCTCCACCAGGCTGATGTTGTGGAAGCTGGGCACCGGGAAGCCTTTCTTCAGTCTCTCTGGGGGGGAGAAGGGGCAGCGGTGAGGGGAGAGGCACTGCCCCTTGGGGCAGGGGCGGGGAGAGGCTAGCACTCACTGTTGACCAGCGACATCCCGACCGCCCGCAGTGCCAGGTTCATCACAGCCTCCAGGTCCTTCACCTGCACGACACGGGGGCACCAGTGAGAGCAGGGCGGGCGTCCCCCAGCCGTGCCTGGCAATCTGCGCCCAGCCCCTGCTCCCACACACAGCCTGCCTGGGGTGGAGGGCACGCCCGCTGTGCACTCGCAGAAACATACGGTGTGAAGGACACAGTTGCGTGTGCCATGCATGGGCGTGCCAGTCACGGGCATTGTGCGCATGCAAGCAGAGTACTCATGCCGTGCCCGGTGTCTCCACGGGGCTGCCCGACTCTCTCCCGAGCAGGGGTAAGCTCTCCGGGTGGCTTGGCTGGGTCACCCCTGCCCCCCTAGACTTGAGCCTCCCCTGCTCTCACTCACCTCGACTGGGCCCACGTGCGACTCCACCTGGGACATCCTGAAGCTGTAGGAGACACGGAGGCCAGTTCATGGCCAGGATCACGTGGCGGCAGCCAGACCCCAGAGCGCGGGGTGGGGGAGGAAAAACCCATGGAGATCCAGCACTGCCCTTCCTTGGGCATTGGGCCTTGAGGCCCTGGGATGGGGAAGAGGAGCCCAGGGAGCTCCAGGGCAGGGAGCCCCGAGGCTGAGAGGCAGCACTGCAGAGAAGGCCCCAGGCTGGGCTCTGGTGGCTCCTGGGCTTGGGGCTACAATGGGGACCCCCCCCCCCCTCAATGGGCCATGCTGGACAGGGGCAGGGGCACGGGCACTCACTTCTTCAGCGCCACGGAGCCCCCGACCCTGGCCGAGTCCATGAGCAGCTTCCCCGTCAGGTTGGCATCCTGTCAGCAGAGTGAGGCGTTAGCAGGTCCCTCCCGTCGGCTGGAGCAGAGCCCCCCGCTCCAGATGCCCTGCACCCCCCAGTGCCCTTGTGCACAGAGCTGGGGCCCTCCCCTGCCCCTGCCAGCCTGCAAAG